TCAGGCTCCCAAGTGATGTATAAAAGTGAAGCATAGGAATCAGTAGACTAAACATCCACAAGTGTGCCTTCCAAATTAGATTCTGTGATTCCAACATCTTATAAGGAATTCTAGGGAGAAACTCTACCAGTTGGAGACATGTCCTTCTCTTCTCTTCAGTGCTTGAGGCCCCCCTCCTCCTAAAGCAAGACTCCCCTAGGTTCTGTTGGAATGACAGACTCAGAAGGCTTAGTCACATTGTGGGGTTAGCAAGCCTGTGTGGGCCAGCCTGGGAACCTAACCACTATTTATAACATAGTTTCTGTGGGAAACTGTGTTCCAACTTCCAACAACTGCCTTTCAAAAATATGCTGGAGCACAACCTGTCGGTAATTGGGTAAACCTATATATAAAATTATTTTCTCAGAGATTTTAGCATCTCATACACTTGACCTCAGAGAATGAGTAATTAACCAGCTTTCAATGTGGGCTTTACAATGCAGGTTCTTCTGCCCTGAGTAATTGGAGGCCTGCTTTAAGAGCAGCTATTACTTTTTATCCCAACAATTGTTTCTTCCTGTTGTCATCATTTTGCCCAAGGGAGATTAGTGCTGGCTTCACCTGGGAAGTGATGAATAGCTTGAGATACAAGGTGGTAGCAAAAACTTCAACTTGGTGCTAGCAAAAACAGTGAGAATGAGGTCATCTTTCAGAGTTTAACTACATCTGTGTCCCATTCCAAGGACTCTGCCCACAGAAATGAGGTAAACAGTTATATTTCCAGTATTCTCCACTCTCCTTCTGCCCTTACCCCTGGAATAAAGAACAATTTTTGAGATAGAAAAGATACAGATTTATAAATAAAAGGATCTATAGGGACTTGTGTGGGCCCCAAGGTCAAACTGAATATATAACATGGTCTTGATTGCCCCAGTATCCCCACAAAAAAATAACCCCAGTAAACTATATCAAGGAAGTTTAAAAATGGCATTCATTTACCTCCTGGTGAGACCAGACTCAAGTCTGGTCTCCCAACTTCAGGAGGGTCACAGGAACCTTGAACGGTGTCCCACTGGAACTTTCTGGATAGGAAAGAGGTCTGGAAGACGTCATCTGAACGTAATCATCAGGTCGAACAAACAGGACTCAAAGGCAGACACCAGTAGCCCTCAGATACCTCTGTGTGCATTAGGAAAAGCTCACAGGAGCAAAATCCGGGAGGAGAAATGTCAAAGGGACCTCATTCGTTTTATACCTAAAACAATTACTTGAAGAAATACACATTCAACTCATTTTAATATCTTAAAAATACCAGTAGCTAAATTAACCAGAAACTGACCCCTATGGTATTTAAAGAAAAATATAACTAAATAGTAAAAGATGGAAAAATAACAAGGATGCATTAAAACAAAATATTAAAGGTGTGACTACCACCGCAGCAACATGTATTAAAAGGAAATGCACCTAATAAATAAAAATTACCTATCAATATTTAAAAAGAACTTGCTCTAATTGTTTTTTTTAAATATATTTTATTGATTTTTTACAGAAAGGAAGGGAGATAGTTAGAAACATCAATGAGAGAGAGTCATGATTAGCTGCCTCTTGCATGCCCCCTACTGGGGATGTGCCCGCAACCAAGGTACATGCCCTTTACTGGAATTGAACCCAGGACCTTTCAGTCCGCAAGCCGATGCTCTATCCACTGAGCCAAACCGGTTTTGGCTGCTCTAATTGTTAATCAGAGAAATGCAAATTAAAGTTGAAAGGAGATATACTTTTGTCTTAACCTAACCAACTGCCAAAGACTTTTAAAATTGAAATATCTGTTGTTATCAAAGATACAGGGAGATGGGTGCGTTCATACACAGTAGAATTTTAACTTTTCATATTTGAGGAGAATAATTTACCATAGCCCTATTTATATACTAGTATATGTCAATAGTATTTATGTTATGCCTCAGCAATTAGGAATTTATTCTGGGGGGAAAATTACCAGTGTGTGTTTAGAAAATGTAGATACAAGGATGCTTTTGCCTAAATGTGCAATAATTGGGAATTGTTAAGGAAGTACAGATAGGCTGTTCACACACTGGAGGTCTGCTGACCCCTCTCAGCCTAGGCTCTGCAGGGCATGTTAGGTAGGTGGCTTTGCCGGATGCCAGGTTTAAGAACCCATACTTACATCATGGGCTGATATTTCTGGGTACCTACCATGTCCTGGACACTGGACTGGGTGCTTTGCATACTTCATCTCACTGAACCCTCATTGGCCACCCAACAAGGATGGACATGCAGACCTGGGGGAGATGGGACCACCCCAGGTCACAATTAGCAAACCACAGAGCTGGGGCTGGATGGCAGGTTGTTCTGCTTCCACATCCTGTGACCTTATCACACTGCCAGGCTCTTCCTCTGTTCCTCAGAGGAAACTTCTAGATCACTTGGTCCAACCTCCTCATTTCTGAAATGGAGATTGAGACTTAGAAAGGGTCTCTGTATGTGTTGTTTTGGATTCTGGTGATACCTTAGTGATTAAGACAACATCCCTGACCCTATGGAGCTTAATTCTAGTTCTGGGAGGGTCGTTGGAATGACAGTAAGCAAGAAAACACATAAGTAGGAAAATCACAGGACATAAAAAGTGTAGTAAAGAAGATAAAACTAGCCCTAGCTGGCTCGGTTCGGTGGACAGACAGATTGTTGTCCTGTGGACTGAAGGGTCCCGGATTCGATTCCCAGTCAAGGGCATGTCCCTCAGTTGCAGGTTTGATCCCTGGCCCTTGTTGGGGCATGTGAGGGAGGCAACCAATTGATGTATCTCTCTCATATCGATGTTTCTCTCTTTCTGTCTCTCCTCCTCTCTTCCACTCTCTCTCTAAAAATCAATGGAAAAAATATCCTTGGGTGAGGATTAACAAAACAAAACAACAAAAATGAAGATGAAACTAGTGGATAGAGAATGCCTAGGTGAGGGGATTTTTGAAAGGGTGGGTCAGGAAAACTGTCCCTGAGAAGTGACAAGTGTTGATATTGAAATGCAAAGACCTGGGGAAGAAGCTTTCCAGGAGAGAATACAGTTAGAGCAGAAGCCCTAAGGTGCAGACAAACTTGATGTGATCAAAGGACCCAAAAGGTTTAAGGAAGAGAGAGAGCGTCTTAATGGACTCGTCCAGGCTCCCTTGGGAGAAGCGAGATGGTGAAGGATGATTGCAGAAAGCCAGCCACAGGGATGGGCAGCAGGTGGGGTGTGATTAATAGTGAGAAGAGGCTGAGCTGGACTGGAAAAAGTGCTGTCTCCTTGAAGAACCCTGGGTTTGAAGAGAACTGCTGTGTATTTTGAGCGATGAACAGAATATGATGCTGGACAGGATGCATTCCTGAGGAAAACCTGAGTCATCCAACAGGAGCCAAAACAAAAAGGAGGTTGGAACACCGACATTCACATTTGTCCCGGCAGAATTCCTCGCCCGCAGCATCCACAGGGTGAGGGCCTTGGCCATCCCCAGGCATCTGTGTGAGTGACCCCGCTCTGCTAATGCCTTGAGCCAAGGGCAAGAGACTTGGGGTCCAGCCCCAAGACAACCCAGGCTCTGATGGCTCAGCTTCACTACCCTCCTAAGCACCAGACCAGGCCCCAAACAACGTGGGGTAGTTTTCCAAAAGCAATTAAGCATTCAAAAGTTTAAAAAAAATGAGAGAAGTAACAGAGATGAAATTGGAACAGTCTAGATACACACACATCCATGTGCAGATGCTCACACACAAAACACAAGCTGTGTGACCTTGGGCAAATTTCTGGGCCTCTCTGTGCCTCAGGGTACAGGGCTGGGGCATATATGAACACGTCTAAGGGCCTTTCCCAGTATAAACTGACAGTGAACTGATGGCTTCCTACATGTGGCTTGTCTCCAAGGAGGGTTTTTTGAAAGGCTAAGCCGTGGGCTCTGATGACATTTCTGGAAGAGGGGTTCAGAAGCCACTTGGAGAGACTGAGGATGACAGGTTCCCTGGGGCAGCGCTCACTGGACCCAAGTAAAAAGGCACTTTCCGTCCTTTGTGACCACAGTCAGAATATTAATATTACCAATGAGGTGTTTTTTTATGAAATTTAATTCAGTGGGGGGAGGGAAAAAACACACAACTTTTTCTTAATGCCAAGTTATCAACAGATCCTGCTAGGCTATAGAAAATGATGGAGGAGGAGGGCTATGTATCTGGGAGCTGCCCCAGACCCCTTCACTCAGGCCTCATGGAGCTCAGAATCCACAAGCCCCCCGGGGATATGCCAAGCTGGTGCCTATTCCTCTCTCTCCTAGACCATGCCCCGAACTCCCTGCCTAAGTGGCTAGAACTGCTTCTGGTGCCCAGGGAACCTCTTGCGTGGGTCAGCCCTCCTGAGGGTGAACAGCAGTTCTTTGGTGGTCTCGGGGCTACTGATGCTGGAAGGGCGAAGAGGCGTGGCCTGAGCTTGCCTGGGCTGCCGAGGTGGACCACAGAGCAAGGCCAGCATCCCCATGCTGCCGTGTCCAGCCCGACACTCTGAGGAGTCCTGGAAGTCTGAATTCAGACTTGGCCTTCCACATCATTAAAGGCTTATTTATTATGAGGGGAAGATAGAAAAGATTTTATTGAGTAGTCCGTTGGTCTGTCTATAATTTACATGTTTAGACATAAGTATGTGAGCCTCCACTGGTACTCTAGCTCCAGATGCTGTAAATGTCATGGGGGAATCCCTGCTTACAGTTCCTTCCCCTTAACCTTGCTAGATCCCAGGATTCAAATCTCAGCCCTGCCACTCACTAGCTCTGTGGTACTAGGCAAGTCCTCTTACCTGAATCACTTTCCTCGCCTGTAAAATGGGGGTGATAATAGTACCTGTCACACGAGGCTTTTGTGATAAATCAAGGAGATAACGCACAGAAAGAGCCTAGACACTTGGAGAGTCTCAGCGCCCGGCACTGTGTGCCTGAGGTCCCTGCCGGTTGTAACTTGGTGTCCCCCAACCCTTCGTTTTCCAGACGCCGCAGCAGTACGAGAGAGAGTACAACAACAAGCGGTCAGGTGTGGGGCCCAGCAAGTTCCACGGGTATGCCTACGATGGCATCTGGGTCATCGCCAAAACGCTGCAGAGGGCCATGGAGACGCTGCACGCCAGCAGCCGGCACCAGCGGATCCAGGACTTCAACTACACAGACCGCACCCTGGGCAGGATCATCCTCAACGCCATGAATGAGACCAACTTCTTCGGGGTCACGGTCAGTCCTGGGCCCCGGGCTCTGCTTTCTTAGTGCCCTTTGGATACATGCAAGGCCAGAAGGGCTGCATCAGACACCCTCTGACGCTGGATCCATTTTCTCAGATTGCTGAAATAACTTCCTGTGGCTTGTAGGGTTTCAGGGCTGCTGAAATGGGAGGTGCAGTGACGCTCCCTGACCCATTGGGGAAATGCTTCTCTGTAACTCATGAATTAGAAAAGCTTCATGCAGGTCAGGTGGATTTCACTACGCAGAGGGGTAGGATGGGTAGCAAAAGCTCTAGATCCAAAGTTAGATTCAAATCTTGGACCTCCACTTTCAAGTTACTGTCTTTGAACACAGATTTTTTTCATTCCCAGAATGGAAATAATAAGTACCTATTAGGTAGTTATAAGATTAGCCAATAGAGAGTAAAAATTGCTAATATTTGTTGAGCAAGAAACTTGCTTTGAGCCTCAAGTTTTTCATCTGGGAAATGAAGATAATGCTATATGTCTTGCACAGAAGTTGGGGAAATTAGCAATGATAAAAATGGCTAATATTTCTTGAATGCTTATTATGTGCTATATACTGTGCTAATAAGCACTTTATGTAGATTAGACCCAATAACAGGCTCAGTGCTAGACACATAGTAGGCAGAGGGGTAGGGTGTGTAGCAGAAGCATAGAAAATGCTAGCAAATGTTGTTGTTAATGGTCTCATTGCATCCCTATGCCGTCATAGAAAGTAGGACTGTTATCATCCCCACTGGAGGGGAGAAACGTGGAGCTCAGAGCATTTAAGCACTAAATCTAATCAGAGGTAGAGCTGGAATTTGAATTGGGTCTAGCTCTTAATTGTTGTTTTACACAACTTCTCATAATGGACCTACGTGGTAGTTATTTCTGTCTCATCCTGATATATTTGTCATTGACTCTACTCCCAGAAAATACGAAAAACTTTTCTAAAGAGTAAGTTGAAATGGCTAAAGTGCTGTCTTGAGTTTTAAAAAGTCATTTACAGAATCAATCTGTCTAGGGGTAGTAAGAGGAGTAGATAAGGTGAGTTGGTTGTTGCATTTCTTAAATGTTCGTATTCCTTTGTGCATGCACCAGGCCTGCACTGTTGGTCTGGCGGGCCAGGCACGGAGTGCCTATGCAGGTGCTGGGGCGTAGCCTGTGGTGTGGACACCAAGGCAAGTAGGATGTGCTCCATGTCCTGGAGCCTGTAGTCCAGACGCAGGGACCAGACCTGAACGCAAATGACAAGCAGGGCTCAGCAGTGGGAGAAACTGTAAGCCCAGAAGGTTTCTGTGATCTTTGGTGAAAAAGTCAGGGAAGGCCTTTGGGAAAAGGCAACATGTGAGCTGTGCCTAAGGCGTGCAGAGAGGGCCTGGTGGTCTGACCAAGTGGAGCGAGATGAGCAAGAGAGAAGCACATGTGTGTGTGCAGGGAGTATTAGGAAGGAGGATGACAAGGCTGGGAAGGTATATTGGAGTCCATTTCTGAAGGAACAAGCTAAGGAGACTGGCCTTTCTCTTAAAGGTGAAAGGTTCTCCAGGTGTTCCCGGGCCAGCAGCACCAGTGTGCCCAGGGAGCTGGTGAGACATGCTGATTCTCCAGCCCCTCCCAGGCCCCCTGAATCAGAAGCTCCAGAGTGGGGACACAGTGGCTGTGGTTAACAAATCCTCTAGGTGATTCTAATGCACCCTGGAGCTTGAGAACCAGCAAAAAGGGTGTTTATAGCACAGCCTACATTCAGACTGGAAGGTTTAACAGCTTTCCTCAGAAGAGTAGTTTAAAAAAATTTTTTTTTTATTCTCAAAACCTCTTGTTATAAAGTCTCACTTGGAACCTGGTACATTATATAGATGAAATGAGCTTCTCAGTTGAACAGAGGAGCAGCCCTGCCTGTTCACCCCTCTTCCCACAGTCCCCACCTCATCCCACCCATCAGCCCAGAGACCTCCCTCCGAAAGGCTCCACAGAGCACCAAAGACCTCTGAGGACCTTTCTCTTCTGGTACAAATCCAGAGACTTAGAGAGGGATGAGCTTCCCCCAGGTCCCACCGGTAACAATGTACAGCGCTGTCTCAGAATACTGGTACTCTTCCTCGGGCCATCTTTTCACCGGTGCTTCTTACTTACTAGAATGAAATCATCGTACCCCACATTGAAATGGTTGGATAGAGAGCTACAGAACCTAGGAAGCATTATGCATAATCCTAGAACTCAGCATTTTTCCTGAGGTATCTTACTTGGAGATCATTTATAACTACTTCTAAGTGCTCCCTTTCATCTAAGCCAAATAATTCATAATCCCTACTTGATGAGCAATTAGATAAGACTGCCTGAATCGCCTTACATGGCTTGAAGATGAGTTGCTTTTTAATGGGAAATTCCTTGACGCACATTTATGTCTGCTCCGACTTGTGACTCATCATTCAGCGAATGTCAGAACTGAAAGTGGTCTTATAGATCCTCACATTCAACTGCCTCGTATTGTAGATGAGTATCTGAATGCAGACAAGGAGCTTTCAAAGCCACACAGGAAGACTGATTCAGCAAAGCCAGGTAGCTCCACCTGGTCCTGTCCCCACCACACACAGCACCATCTCTTCCTCTGGGCACATCCCCCTTTGTTGAGAAAGAGATTGCAGTAGAGACAATTCTCCACTCCCCTCCCCCACCCTTCCTCTTACCCTCTTTGTCACATGTTGATATGTGCTTGTCAGTGGGCTATAAACAGGTTTCATTAAAATTCTCTTCCGATCAGAGAAAAAAAGGATGTCTTCTGACAAAATAAAAAATATCTCTGTGGTCCAAGGAGACCACAGAAGGCCAAGTTCAGTCATAAAGAAAGAAAGGAAAGGAATGGGAGGTGGAAATAAATGGAAGCATTTCCTATTTGCTGAAGGGTTTTCATTATACAGCACACACAGAATCCATTTTTCCACTCTCATGCAGACACTTTATCCCAGGTCACCCTCATTCAGCATGTTTACTATACAGAAAATCGTTTAAACACATTAATTATATCTGTGACTCAATTTCAATTGATTCAATGTGCACACTCTTGGCTGGGAGCTGGGCCTGTGACTCCTGGTTGGCATGTTGAAGAAGAAAGTTTTGCCATGCAGCCCAGACTGGGAATCTGGCTGAGCTTGGGACCCAGCTCTGTTTTTATGTTCTTAAGCTCTCTTCCCAGTTACTCTTCTCAGGGGACACTTAGAAATGGGATTTTGTGTCCACACCTGCACCCCAATGGCCTAGGGATCCTGCCCAGCTCAGATTCCCTAAGGACATGGTTCTGGTTTTCAGCCCATTTATAACCTCTTTATGGTTTGCTTTTTAGGTCTCCAAAGCCCAGAGAATTCTGAGTATCCCCCCTCAGCAGAGTTTAAGACAATGATTCCTAGACTTCTGTATGCATGAGACTCTCCTAGAAAGTTTCATTAAAAATTCAGATTTCCCAGCCTTGCCCCAAAACTTATGATACAGGGCTTTGCAGTAAGGCCAAAGAATTCACATGATTAACAAGCAGCACAAAAAGCAACCCTGAGAATTGCTTAGGGCTCCAGTGATGTATGTCTAGACACCCATGTCCATGTGCAACGTATCTACACACACACACACACACAAACACACACACACACACACACACATACACACACACATTTTCACTTTAAACCTGTCAGAGATGTATTTGTTCCTGCATTCATTCATTCCTTTAATAGACCCTGCGCTGGATACTGGGAGCTGGGAGCATAGACAGGAATAATATATGGTTTCTCCCTCAAGAGCCCCCCACTTAGTGGGGGAGATAGACAAATAGAGGAATATTTTCTGGGCAGTATCCTGTGTCTGCCCAAGGCCCTTGGAGGAAGGACCCCATTCTGCTTACCGAAATAAAGACCAAGGAACTGTCCTCAATTTTCCTGAAGTTGAGTGGGCAAAACTACATGTGTGGGTAATTTTACTAGGTGCTTATCACCCTGTACCATGTGCTGGGTCCAAGAATGCAATGCCAGGCTCTCGACGCCCAACATTCATGATGGCTTACTATGCTGTTGGAGCCCCAGCCAGATCTCCTGGGATCTGTTTGATTAGGTTTGTCCATCCCCAGCAGTGTTAGGGGCCTTTGTTAATGGCTCACACGTTGGGCAATTGGAGCCTCCTAACCTGGAGATGCCTGGGACTGACACCCAGCCCAGCCAACAGCAGTGACTGGTTGGTGTGGCGGTGCACCACCAACACCATTAACCCTCCGCAGCTCCTCATGGGGCTGCACTGAGGCTAGGCCTCCCCTGAAACCACATCCGAGCTTGGCCTCTTCCCTTTGCTTCTCTCCCTACAGGCTTCTCCTGAGAACACATCCTTCATAAGTCACTTCACATACTTCCCTGTCCCAGACTCTGCTTATGGGACCTAATCTAAATAAGATAACCATGTGTCTTTGTGGGCAAGTTAAGCATTTTCAAGAGGGAATTTTTACTGTAACCTAATTGGTATCTATGTATTAAGCCTAGCATCAGAGCTTCCCCAAACCAGGTTCCAGACTCTTCTCTCTCACACTCCATTGCACTTTTCTGTATCAGCCAGCCTGTGGGAGAGCCATACTTGTCACCTCTAGTGAAATACAGCTCTCAGATTTGCAGGGACCACAGCAGCTCATCCCTCTGGTCCCCACATACTTCACCTAGCACTTTACACCTGCCAGAAGCTCCGTAAACACTGGTCACCTTGAGTAGATTTTGTTGGCTTGAATCCACACATGGCTGAGAAATTCAGGCCCACTCTCCGACACAGCGGCCTTCCAGGCTTTTATAAAATAAAAAGCCTTTTCAACCCAATAAATAATCAGAACTGACAATGGAAGTATTAACAGGAATCTGTTCTTGAATCTGCTAATAATGATTTCCATAGTCTTGCCGTGATGGCTGGGGTCAGATTCATCCTAGTTGTGGAAATCTCCTTTAAGTTTGTGTGCGCGTGTGTGGTGTGGTGTGTGTGTCTGTGTGT